CATGTGAAAGCCTCTCAACTCCAGACTTTTACAGGGCCACTCCAAAACCTTCATTTTGTTTTGTTTTTTTAAAGCCTTCAGAGGTGGACTTGCCAACTGCGCTTGAGCTTCAGGGCATGAACTGATGGCCGGACATTCTCATTTAGGATTTTATGGCAGAGAGCAGAATTCCTGATTCCATCAATTATGGTAAGTCATCCAGGTCATGAAATAGCAAAGCAACCCCAGACCATCACTCTACCACTTATGACATCCTGTGTTAGTTTAGCCAGATATAATAGATCTTGTCAGTCTGAATATTGTCGGAATATTTCCCCAAAAGTCATGGGGATCATCAAGATGTTTTTGTCCAGTGTGAGACGAATCTTTGTGTTGTTTTGGTCAGCTGTGGGGTTTGCCTTGGACCTTTTTTATGGAAGCCATTTTTTTCAGCCTCTTTCTTACTGCAAAATCATGAACACTGACCTAAAGAACGAAAGAAAGAAATCAGCAATGGGGCAAATGTCTTTTCACAGAACTTCTTGATTCTTACTGTCCATCCCTTTGAGGCTATATGACGTACAGTATGCTGGCGCTGTGGTTCCCAGAGAGTGTGTGGGTGTTTGCCTGTGAGGGTTTACAATATCTACCCACAATAAAAATGCACTGGCTCATTAGTGTATTCCATTGTGCATACAAGTATATAATTCTGCACAGTATATTACAACTTATTTGTCACACACGCAGTCAAAGGTGCCTGACCTGCAGCTACTACTTTCACATGGGGCCAGACGCCATTCTGTACCTCAGGCCCAGACTCATCAAAATGTCACACCGCATTTCCTATTCTGATTTCATTTCCATTAATTCTCTGTTGTACGTTTTTCATCATTAGTGCTGCAAAGCCACCCAGGCTGTTGTCTGCATATCATCTATTATTTCCCCCCTAAATTCCCTTCCTCCTGCATGAGCACAGTGGAAAACAAACAGACGCTCATTAGCATGTGTGACCCGTTGGTGGTAAACAGGCTTATTTCCACATGAGTGAAGTGCGAGAATGGATTCCACCGGGACAGTCGAGGTAGGTGGGCCCGCCGGCTGCCTTCATGGGGACTTTAATAGGGACTTAACAAATGCAAGTGGACAGGCACAACATTCTCTGGCACAGGGGGTCATGTTGGTACAGTGAGCACTTGTTAGAGGGTGACTCACTGTATTTGGACTCTTGGGTGGCCACTGATATTCACTTCATTTTTAATGTGAATTTTTTTTTTCTCCTCAGTGCTAATTGTTGGATTGTGACGGATGCTGAGTGCTGTCTGCCAGAGCTGAGGTAATGCGTGGCTTTCAAATAATGCTTCTGTGCTCTGCTCTTGAAGTGATGAAAGCGGCCTGTAATTACAGGGATAATCAAAACTGTCAGGGGCTCTTCTATGGATGGTTTTGTTTACTGTCTGCTTCTCTCACAGCATCACAAGCTGCTGGCCCTCCACTTCCTCTGGCTGGGCCTCAGACCTCAAAAGATCACAGCAGTTGTATCTGTCTGAGAATCAAATGTAAGTAAAAGTCAGTTTCATTAATGGGTTGTTTTAGAAACCTGTTCGGCTTTCCTGTACTCAGCTCATAGGGCTACAGTATAACAAAGATGCAGAACAAATCAGGTGGCTCTTTTATCATTTGTCCCTCACAGGGATTAATCTGTTCATATCAGTACAAAGTCCTGATGGGAGTGGTCGCTTTCAGGGTGCCAATGCCCCCATGCAGAGGACACCGGAGGTCCCTAAATTGTATGAAATTGATCTGAAAAACAATTATATGCTACTTTACTAATACACTGTTTGCTAGTTTTTCTTCTACTTGTCACCTGTCTACATTTTTCCTCTTAGTTATGCTGCTTTTTCAAATAGAGATCAATATGTTGTCCAAGGAAAGGATTATAAGGATCACAAGGTTCTACATACACTCCAGCTTCCATGTGGCATGTAAAAAAGGCACATGTTACCTATAACTTTAAGAGGAATATGTCGGGTTCTTTTTGTTTTTTTTTTAAAAAAAAGCGGTATAAAATTTTCCATTCAGTCTTTTTTGTCCCACACTCAGTTACGTCTGTTCCCCTCAAGGTGGCAGCATTTCAGTATCTTTTCATTCCTTTGTTGTTGCAGGAGATGCTACAACAGTCTCCACAAGCCATGACAGCATGATACCTTTTAGGCACACACATTAGGCATTTAAGTGAAAGTACAGATAAGTATCTGTACTATTAAAAAAAACTAAACATAATTGTGTTAAAAAAAAATACTCTGATAAAAGCTGAAATACTGATTCTTTATTCAAGTAAGTGTGACAAAGCACAGGTCTGAAATTTGTTTTCGTTTTTCCCCCCAAGCCAAGTCATATTAATATCATAATTAAACGATAGTAATATAAGAGAAACCTCAACTTTAATTCTAATTTTAATGGATTTACCAAGCTTGAACATCTGTTACGTAGAACATAATGTTACAGAGTGAAATTGATTATAATCAGTACACACCTAGTATAGAGCTAGTATAAACCACAAGTGAATCTGATCAGCATCATCAGCTTGAATTTGTGTGCTACCCTTAATGTGATATCACACTGACTTTGAACAACACAACTGCCCTGCACAAACTTCATTGTGGTATTGTAAACCAACCAGTGAAGCCTGCACTAAACTGGCCAGCATTTTCATGCAACCTCTGTATAATAACATTAGTACACTTCAGTTTGTTTAGCAGGGTGTTTCACAATATGAAAAATAAGAAAACATAACTTGAGATATAAAGTTGTATTTTAAACAAATGCTCAAATTAACAAGAACATCACATGATATAACCTTTAAATTTCCAGTTCATCAAATGTCACTGAGCAGTCCTTAAATTTTAAAAATAACCTCTCTTCTTCCTCTCTTGTCTTGTCATTCATACATCTTTCTCTACCTCTGAGTGATGTTACCTCTCATTCTTTTCTCTCCCTGGGAAATGTGGCAGTTGTAGCACTAGCTAGCAGACACATTTTGTGACAAACTGCACAGAAACAGCTATGTGAATGCCAATATTTGTTGAGCTGGTAGAAATGTTGCATTTTAAATTACCTACCACTTAAAAAACAACATGTCACTGCCTTTATGCTCAGTCCTTGGTTGTTTTTTCTTTCGCCTATCTCTTTGGACGTAATAAACATCAGTGATGCATACACTCATGTTCCCTCTATTTAGGTTTAAGTGAATTTGGTATTTCAAGGTGTGAGGTGAGAAGAAATAATGATTCCCCTGAAATGTCACAAGTCTAAAGTAATAAGCCAGTTTTGAAAATATAAGAAATAGAGAGTCTAGATATTTGTGTTAAAATGTGTTGAGTAAGAGTAAAAAAAACTGTCAGAAAAATAGATATCTGAATTTCTATTTATATACAGTAACAAAGTACTTTGTTATTTATCACTATTGATTTTAGAGGTTAATTTTCCACAAATTTCAACTTTTTCCATCTCTTGTTTTTAGAATTTTATTGAATAATTGGTATTAGGTATGCTAAGTAAGATCAAGTCAATTTAGGGATTTTAATTGTTGTAAAAAAAACAAAACAAAAAAACAACCCAAAACAATATTATTATTGTATTATTATTATTATTGTAAAACACTAGACACTAAATACCTGAGCACCATATCGCTATCTAGTAACACCTGTGCTTACATAGGTTATGATCCTATAGGAAAAGACAGATAGCATTCACAGATATGTGGAAAAATTGGTCTATACAGCTAAAGATACACAGGTGGATTTGTTTTCCCTACGGTGACCAGGTTAGTATTTTTGTTCTGTGTATTTAAACCCTTGCTTCCCCTTGTGTATTTACAAGTAACTGCTAACAGTATAACCAGTAATTAACATTTCTGAAACACGACACAACCTTTTCAGAGTAAACAGCTTGAACTCTGTGGGGTTTTTTTGGAACACAAATATTATTTCCTTTGGGTACCAATGGCAGTAAGAACATGGCAGAAAAAAGCGCATGTTTTCTTCCCTTCTGATAATTTGATTTTTAATGAGGGTCAAGTGAAGACCACAGAAACAGCATGCTGTGTTCACTGTAAATGGAAATCCTCTTTAAGGTGCAAACTTAAAGTGGTAGATTTAGAAATCTTTTAGCAGGCCAAGCACTTTATGAGCTTATCTTTTGTTGCATCCTAGGGAACATGGGAAAACGGATGCTAAATGTATAAGCCAGTTAACAAGTATCATATTTGCAGTCCGAGTCCAGCCTTTGGTAAAATACCGTTTCTGTAAATTATTACATTTATGTCATATTGCACTGTCTTGGTCACAAATTGTTGGCACGCCACTGTTAAAAAAAGGGGGGTGCACTTTTGCGCACCCCCTTTACAACTACACCCCTGCAATCGTGCAGACAGACACGGTCATTGTGTTTTTTGAGCGGAAAACAATCCTGATCCTGGATCAGTATCCCTGATTTCCTTCATACCTAATCATCGTAAAGGTAGTCGCTACGGCGGTGCCCCGAGAGGTGACGAGAGGTCTCACTCTGTTTACATTTTTCCATCCGATTTTTAAATAGAAGCTCCAACGAATAATTGCATCCCCCTGTAAAGCCATTTTTCTTCAGAGACCCGCTATTCCTTATAATCCCTGCTGCCGTGTTTGATGAGAATGATAGCGTAGCGAACACGCCTTGTGTGGATATTATGCACTTAAAATAATCCGATAGGGTGTGCAGTGTATGTAGTTTTACGCTTAAGTCGACCAAAGATGCTCGAAACTGTTAAAAACTGAGGATTTCTCCCAATGAGCGCCACAGCAGTCACTATGGTAACTGCTCTCCATGGTGGCTAAACTGCAGTAAGAGCGACGCCCTCTTTCACCGAGGCGGAGTGATTCATCACACGATGCATATACGATCTGTACGCATGGCGCCGTGTTTACGGCTAACACGGCAGACTGCAGACTGACCGAAGGAGACTGTGTGTGTGTACCTGTGAGTTATTCCATGTAACTGCGCGAACCGCTTACTTATCTATCGACCGAGGGCGTTAGAAAACCAAAGAATTTGACCTCAACCGCAGCAAAAAGGTCAAATATTCATTTTAGCCCGCTGGTATGAAGGTGAATTACCACAACAACGCGGTGCGTGTGTGCATGATGAGCGGCTGAGGAGGAGGAGGAGGAGAAGAAGGAGGCTGCGGTCTGAAGCCAGATTTTATCCTGGATATTTCGAAACAAACGCCGTGTCGTTTACTTAACGGGGCACTGTACAAGTGGAATATGTTACTGTATGCCCCAATCAATCTCGGTCCATCCCAATTTTAGGGGAGGTTTGACCCGTTTTCTGCCTCCTGAGGATCCTCCAGCAACAGCAGCGGGACGGCGAACGGTTTTTCCTCCAGATATGGAGTGTGAAGATGCGGATTACAGAGGAATCCCCGCCGCTAGTTTAGATACAGTGGTCTTATACTCTCCAGTGCGGCGCTATCCAAGAGAAGAATAACTATGAATACACATTTTCTGACCTCGGGACTAAATCGGTGATATCGCTCTCTCTATATTTTTTTTAATTTTATTTTTTTTTGGAGCACGACTGGACTCCCGTTAGGAAACGTGAGAGTGCAATCCTGCTAGCCTGTTTGTAGTAGCTATTAGCTCCATTAGCCGGCTAACAGCTAAAAGGTGCTGGCTGGAGCTTAAAAGGCGTTTTGATAACTCTGACTGGGTTTTCCCCACGTTTCCTTCCCACAGCATATTTATTTACAGGATTTAAAGTGTGATTCACTCATTCGGGGATGAGGTCTCGAAAGGAAAGGAGCCGCTTGACCTTGTTTTGGGGTCTGATGCTGGGTCTTTCGTCCTGCCTCCGGCCCGCCACCGCAGAAAGTAAGTAATGCCTCTCTACGCTACTACACACACGGGCAAACTGTGTTTTTCCATGCTTCGTTAGTGTTCAAACACGAGGAAAAGGGTCATTTTGTTAACCCGAAAAACTGTGTTTTACTGTAAATATCGCACATGTAATACTGCACTGTGTAAGCAGAGTGTTTTTTCCGCTATTTGCACATTATTTTTATGCATTTAAAGTGAAAAACAGGTGTGTTGTTACTAGAAACGAAAAAAAATATGGAATGTCACTTACGGTTTCACTATAGTTTTGCATTATTTGGGTCTAATAGATCATGATTTACTTTTCTACATTCGATTTGCGGTGTATATATTTATTTATCTTAAGTTGTTTTATTTATTTTAATTTCAAAATGGGCTTTTAAGTCACTGAGAGATTTTTGGGGGCTTTCTACATATGTAAGCTAGTTTGTTATGTCGAATCTATTTTAGAGGCAATTTTCCAACTTTGGAATAACTAAACTTTATTTCAATCTTTATTTATTTATCTTGTTCTATCTGACACTTATCTTATTGCATGGAATTTGCGCTTTACACCTTGAAATATTTTTATGAGACAAAAGGAAATATAATTTTAACTCTTGGTGAAAACTTTTTGTGTGTGTGTGTGATTATAATAGATCGTTTTAATATTTTACTTGGCTTTTCTAACTACATAACAAACATGAGTCAGCGTTATGACTATTCATTTAGTTTGTTTTTAAATACATCGCTGTGACTCATAGCATGATGAATCAGAACAAACAGAGTGGAGGTATGCCAATATAAAACCCCATCAAAAAAGTGGGATATTAGGAATTTTAAAATGTAATTTTTTAAGTTTGACCCTAAAATTGAGAAATAATATTTTCACATTCAGGTAAGAAAAACAAACAAGATCTCACCTTTTATATAGCTTATCATATATCACATTTAGAGGATAAAAAGAAGCAGCACACCCAAGCATTTATTTCCTGTAAACATATTATATTTCGTTAACGTTTCAAGTTTTCCAGGAAAACCGCGTCCACCTGAAACTGACTTGGTTTAAACACGGCCCTTACATTCAGTTAGGCAATGTTTTGTGTGCATGTTATTCACAATATAGGTTGTAATTTTTTGTAATGTTCCCTCGGGGCTGAGTGAAACTAATGCAGGTTTTTTGTTTTTTCCCTCTCGCTGTACAGTCATTTATTCTCCTTTGTCAAACAAACCTGGGGATACCTTGACCTTGGAAATGCTTTCATGAATACCAGACACAAATCATTTGAGCGACAAGAGGCCACAGATAAGAATATTAGAATATTGTGGGGTCTTTTTTTATTATATTTTTTAATGAAAAGTTGATAGCACTTTAAGGAGCGCTAATCAGACTGCATGGATTTTTCGCAATAAATAAAACTCGGTTGAGCACATAAACCTTACGACTTCTGTCAGCTTGTAAACCTTTTAATCTGATGCAGTTAAATCGTCTATAAATTTATATTCCTACATTTCTTTTTTATGTGTTGCCATCTGAAACGTTTCCATGTTTCCAGCTAAACTGTAAACTGGGCTTCCCGATTCATCCCATTCATGGTGACGTGCTGGGGAGGGCTGGGTTAGGTGGGTTTTTAACCAGGGTCTGGGTTTTAAAATAGAACAAGCCAAAGTACATTCACAAGCAACACAGACCAAGTTCTGTTGATTGGAAAGACTGAGGAGCTTGTGAACTGTGTGTTATGGGGTTTTGGTTACAGGACAAACCTGAGAGCTGCAGAGAGGTTCTCCCATCGAAGTCCTGCATTTATTCTTACTCTGGTGTGGAGCTGTGTAAAGGTTCCTTGTGTGGCTTAACTTTGAGCCTTTTTACTGATTTACAGTATCAGATGGCACTGAAGTTCATCTGGCATGAAGGGTGTACTATGAAGCAAGTTCTGCATAGCAGGGCTTTCTTTGTGTTAGCTAGTTTGACAGAATCTAAAAACCCAGTTGGAGATAACAGGTATAATGTTTTTGGTTACCCTAAACCTCCTACTTCAAACTCTGTGCATGTTCAATGTTCATATAAAGAAGGTGTGTTCGATGTCTTGTTCAGTCATTTAAGCCAATCAGAAATTATAAGAGAAAAAGGTTATAAAAAAACTCAGCAGTAGGATATTTAAATAAATCAGAGGCACATCCGACATTAGGAAGAGCGCAATCATAAATCTTGTGAATTCATGCATAAATATATTTATTTTTACATTCAGAGGGCTCTGGGTTCTGGATTTTAATGTCTAATGAGAAAGCTGCAAATTAGCACTCAAACTTTAAAATTGATCCAGTTAAATGACAGTCAGGTCTGAAGTGGATTTCAGGTTACTGCCTTTGCTTAGGTGGATTTTGGATATGGTGTGCTTGCACGCAGTTGTGCATAAAACAAAAGCACACAGCCTGACGGTGATGACAGGTAGATGAGACAGGTGATGATTGAAAAGTGGGTTTGGACAGGAAAGAGGATGAAAGCAGAGTAGAAAGAAATGCAAATAAATAAAAAACAAACAAACATGCGAAGCACTGACAGTCTGACAATGTAACCAGAAGTTGGAACTTATGCTGTAACTTGTATCGTAACTTATGATGTAACTGGAATCTTCTGTTAACACTACGCTGTAACCAGTCAGAGTCATTGTTGCCATTTGTCAGGTGCATGTCAGGTTATGTGGAAGTTTATGCATTGGGTCAAGAGGGGTTTCTGATTTGTCGTAAGTTATGGCATAGATTTCCCAGGCATAATTCAAGCATAATGGATACGTGGAAATCACTTTAGTTGCCAAATTATTTGTTATATCCTACAAATAGATCGATTCATTTTTTTTCCTGTGTTCTGTTGGCTGCAATTCCAGGTGTGTAAAACAGACTTAAAAGCAGCAGATTAATATCACACATAACATTTATTTTCTGTATCATCAGCTTAGTGCATGTAAATTCCTATTACTGCTCCATTTTGCACTGCTGTACCTTTTCTGCAGTGCTTCTTTATGTGATAACAATTAGACACGGCTCAAAAGGTTGCATATAATGTATTCTTTGAATGAACAGAATAGATTGTCCGTATCACACTTAGAGCATGCTAAAGATTAAAAGTAAGGGTGAAAAGGTGGTGCTTTCAGCTGATGTTAAACCAGAACTCTGAACAAGGCTATGTGCTAGGCATTAGTTACTAACCAGGTAAAAAGAGAGCCATAAAAACGAAATAAAATAATATACATAAAACTCTGATTTTAAGCTTGACATACCCTTGCAACACCTTAATCTTAATTGGTAGCACACCGCTCTGATTAAGTCCTGCTGCAGACGGAGCTTTTACATTACCCCAAACAAGTTTTATCTGTCACCGGTGATCTCTTTCCTAAAGCTTTCCATCACATTTCTTCTCACCTTGCCTCTCATGTGGAAAAGTATTTATGACTACGCTTGCCCCTCAGGCAGTCTGTCACTAACGGGACGGAAACGAGGAGTAAACAGACTTGCTGCAGTCTAGTGGCAGCGTTTGAAGCACCAGCTCAGAGGCCTGTATTGCTTCCTATTTCTTGTCTCATGGAGCTTCTAGTGGATTTCCTCTGATTGTCTGTGGACAGTCTGGATGCTGCAGGCGGCTCGGAAAAGGTTATCAAAAGTAAATATGTGATCTGGAAGCTCATCAGAGCTGCAGAGATAGGCTTGTGTACTCAGCTGTTTAAAATCTGTCAGTGTGGAAGGAGAGGGAGGGGGAGTTATTAAGCTGCTACACCTGCTATTGGTATTTTCACTTAGCCGATGCGCACAACATACATTTTGATCACGAGCTTTTGTTTTTCACAAGCGGGATGGGAGCAGTTCCCATGAAAGATGGCTTTGCTGGTGCTGCAGTGAGGCCACAGAGGGTGAACTGATGAGGCCGCCTGTGGTGATGTAACGTCACCAGGCAGTGTGTCTTTTTACAGTCCTGGGTGTTGGAAGTGTATTAGCAGGTATGCGGCTCACTGAAGCCTGCTGACAAGTAGATTACAGAGAAAGACATAACGATCATGCAGCACGCTTCCTGCTCTAAATCACACCAAGGGCTCTCAAGCCCTGCCTAGAGAGGTCTTAAACTCTACACACTAAGGGAAGCACAGTGTTTCCACTAAAACTGGAAGATAAAGAAAATAGTCTTTTTACTTTAAGTTTAGAAACTATCTATCAGATTGTCATAGATTGTATATGTCCGTCAAATAAGTTAACAGGGTTGGTGCCTTTACCGTACACATACTGTACATTGACCAGTCTTGTGTACATGTGCAGTAAACCACCACAGATTTTTCCTGCGTTAAAAAGGAGGTTTTGACCTCAGCTCATTATAATTTTTTAAGTGGGGTTTAATTTACATAAGCTTTAATAAATTTGTATTCATCAAATGGCTGAAAATATGAAATGCAGACTCTTTGCCTTATATGTGGACCAATCATCATGACTGTGATAGATAAGAGCTTAAAATAGGGATTATAAAAATTAACATTGAAACTGATGAAAAGCTGAACTACAACTGAAACATTTTCAAACAATAAAAAGGAAGCCAGCTACTCAAACTAACTGAAACAGAACTAAAAATCAAAATTAAAGAAAAAAAATCAAATTTAGCTCAGGTATTTACTTTAGTTCACAGAAACCTCCAGCTCCGTGTGTAGCTCATGGTTTGTATCCAGGAGATGTTGGTTTCACTTGTACCCTTGTATTGGCAAGTCTTTTGTAAACGTCACGTAGGATGACATTGTCACTAATATATTTTCCAACATATTTTGGAAAGCTTAATAATCCAAAGTGAAAAGTACTCTTTTTTTTTTTTCTGTCTTTTTTTTTTTTTTAAAGATTAGCAGGAATATTACCCATCTTTATCAACAAGTAGTTGGCTTACAGTTGGAGGGAAGTAATGCTCTTGCTCTGATTTTATCACTTGCCTGCAGTTTGCATTGTGATGGTGTCATACAATGATTTTAATGACCTCTGAGCATTTGTTCAGTTGAGGAATTAAAAATCCAGAAAATCCATATTTTCTTGGATCTGGTTTCATTGCAAAGTTTTTCAATTTTGGGTGATTTCAACTTTAAATACATGTCCTCATTCAAAGGTAAAGGATTACTTATTGTCAGAGTAAAACCTGGAACACTGTGTTATTGCAGCGTTGCCAATATTACATTATTCTATGCCACTAAACTGCATTGAGTGGTTTGGGAAGACATTCTGCCAGCAGAAAGGTTCATGGTGTTCTTTTCTAAATTAAACTTTGTTCCACCTCAATAGGAGCGAAGAAACACCACATATGTTTTGTAGAGTTCTATATTTTGGTATCGGCGGTACTGTCTGTAACTGATCCTGTGACATTTTGCAGAGAGCCATTTGCTGGGGTTATTTATTCAGTATCACTTTGTAGCGCACCGTCTGTCTACTCTTTATGATAATCATACATAAAACATGATTTGTTAGAAAACTGAAGGGATGTTTAAAATGAAACAATGCATTTGTTATAGCTATACCTTTGCTTTTATGGTAGATTACAAAAAACAGAACAACACAAAACTCTCCTTTCTAGTCTTAAGTAGCACCAGACCTAATGTTTAACCACAAAATGTATTAACTCAGAAAACAATAGTTCTTTTTCTGGGAATGTACGATCTCCCCCTCTCAGTGTTGCTTTCGTACAGTAAAACTTTATAGACCAGCAGTAAAGTAAGTAGCAGTGTGACAACCTGTTAGCTGGTTGGTGTGAGTTTTCCATGACTCAGTGCCCTCCAGCTTTTTGAAGTCTAAATCCTCCTCACAGTGATGTGTGATAATGGCCTCCGCGTTTCTGTGGGTGCTGTGGGGCTTGAGGCTAAGTATTGTGCACACAAAGTGAGAGGAAAAGTTGGAAAGGCAAAATCAGTCTACCGATCATCACCTGTTTTGCCAAACTATACCTCATGCTGGTTCGGTTTTATTCCACATAGATTTCAGCACAGTGCCTCTTTTAAATCCTTCACTTTGTAGTTTGTTTGGTTTAGAGGTTGTCTTTGTCTAAAAAGAATCAACCCACTGACTGCCTCAGTAAATAAAATACTTCTCAAGTGGTTAAAAAGAAAACAAATGTGAACAAATCTATTTTTACACTGAACATAAAAGTACATAAATGCATGTTTTTGCAATTAGTTCTCATCAGAGGGGCTGGCAGCTGTCCTTTGTTGTCTGTACTTTGCTCAAAAGCCCTAACATTTCACTTCTGCCCTTGGCAAATACTTCTAATAGTTATAATACTTTTAATGTAGTTCACTACATCTTAGTGTATGTAGTGAATACTAAAGGGCGAGACATGGATCATGGCTTTTAGGGGGTTAGAGGCATTAGGGATCCATCTTTGTTTTAGAGCTAAATGACACTTGTTGGGAAACTTTTGTCAAAGGCTAACAAGCTAAGGGGAACTTGCACTATTCTCTTATGCACTACAGCTCTGTGTGCTCTACTTTATCCCTCTCCCCTCTCACATACACAAGGTGAAACTACTTGAGAAACTGGTAAGGACGCATATGAGTCCAAAATGCATTAAATGCTGTGACACCACACTGAAATTAAACAAGGACACACAAATTAGGTAAAAAATGGGGTGACCCAGAAGACAGTGGTGAAGGAAACTGATCACTGGATGGATCGCCATTATTGTCAGTGTGCCCTCAGAGGATATAACCTGTTACTCTTATCTCCTAACTTTTTCCTACAAGTTCCATGCTCACTCCCCGTTTTGTTCAGATGACAGAATGTTTGGATCACCAAGATGTATCTAGAAGTTGTGAAAGGTTTCTATAGGTCCACCTGAGGAAGGGTAATTAGCAGTTGCTAAAGGTCGTTGCTTTCAGCTGCTCTTGAATGAGTTGTTGGTTAGTTGTCATCTTCAGCTTGTGTGGAAAATGTGCACGTCTCACAAGGAGTTTGAGAGACAGTTGTACATCCCACTGACATCAGTTAGTCCTTCTTCTATTGCCTTCACATAAAATATAAAAATATCTAGATAAATAAACCTTATATGGAAAGATACCAATACATTTAAATAAAAAAAGACTGTGTGTATAGTGGGAAAGGGGCATTGTATACCCAGATGATTGCCAAGAAAAAGAACAGAAGTACAAAGGATGCCCAGTTTGTCATTAGTCACACTAACTTCACCACCTTGGCCCACCTACTTCTAGCGCCCTACTTCATGTACTCATGGGTAGGACCACATCATCCTTGAACTCAATCTTCAAGTTTCTAGATGTACCTTGCACAACATACTCAACACACACATGTTGACCAAAGGTTTCCACAGACTGTCACATCTCATCTCAGGAAGCATCAAAAGTGGCAATAAATGCCTATAAAAGTATTCAAAACTGCCTTTTTGTAGTAATTTCTTGCTACTTTAGGTTTTATTTTATTTCATTTCACTTTTATTAAACAAGGAATTCTCTTGAAATTAAAATCTGTTGGTCAAGGTACAGCTGGCCAAGAAGGAACACCATTACAAAATTATGGATTATAAAATCCGTACACCTTGAATGCACATTCACAGACAAGGTAAAGTCATAGTACAAAATACAAAGTCCACTGTGCAACACACAGTGTTGCAGATGGAAATGATGACATGTTTTTGCAGCTGATTAAAAAATCTTGAAAGTCATAAACATTATAACTGCTAAATACAGGTTTTTGGCATTGTCATCATGATTCTGTTGGTCTGAAGCACAGCTTCACCTCACGTAGTTCCAGACTCTTGTTTCATGAAGAGTTATGTTACTACAGTACTTGTAAAACCTTGTCATCATTAATTATGTCCTTTGTTTGACAAGTTATTTTATCACATAATGTATTTGATCAACTAACACGGTGTACATGTTTTATGTACGATGTCTTTGATAGTCGAATAGTTTCTAACCCTTTGATGTTGATGCGTTACGAAGGGTTGATAAAAACATACAGCGAAACTACATACTACAAGTGTAACAACAGTCTGAAAGCAGAGCAATCAAAACTTTATTGCATTGTTAACCTAAGCTTGGATCGAACGTGACTCAAGTGTTTACTTTGTCACACCATGTTAAGTTGCCATTGAAATGAGAGCTGCAAGGCAAACACGTTCTGTCAGCAACAGCACGGCTCAAATGTACTGTCAATATTTAAAAAATGTACTGGATAAACCTTTAGGTATCGCTATTGCAGAGCAGGAAACCACTGATATTCTTAACAGCTATTTATTGCTAAGGGTGGGCCCATGAGTTATGAATTCTCCATCATTTTTAAACAAGGTTTTGTTGTCTAGCTTCTAAAGATCAGGCAGGAC